TATACCGCCTCCTCATGCTGCTGCCAAGTCCAGAGTCTCTCATGGGTCCCTGTACGGCCTCCCATTGCTGCTGTCTCCATCGCCACACTCTGCCATGTGCCACTTTCAGGTCTCCTCACACTGCTGGTGTGTTGAATTTTTTGACATAGGGTGCTGGCAGATTACGGGCCTCCTATAGCTGCTGCCAGGCCCCTAATCTGCCATGGGCCCCTATATACCGCCTCCTCATGCTGCTGCCAGGTCCAGAGTCTCTCATGGGTCCCTGTACGGCCTCCCATTGCTGCTGTCTCCATCGCCACACTCTGCCATGTGCCACTTTCAGGTCTCCTCACACACTGCTGGTGTGTGTTGAATTTTTTGACATAGGGTGCTGGCAGATTACGGGCCTCCCTATAGCTGCTGCCAGGCCCCTAATCTGCCATGGGCCCCTATATACCGCCTCCTCATGCTGCTGCCAGGTCCAGAGTCTCTCATGGGTCCCTGTACGGCCTCCCATTGCTGCTGTCTCCATCGCCACACTCTGCCATGTGCCACTTTCAGGTCTCCTCACACACTGCTGGTGTGTTGAATTTTTTGACATAGGGTGCTGGCAGATTACGGGCCTCCCATAGCTGCTGCCAGGCCCCTAATCTGCCATGGGCCCCTATATACCGCCTCCTCATGCTGCTGCCAGGTCCAGAGTCAGAGTCTGTCATGGGTCCCTGTACGGCCTCCCATTGCTGCTGTCTCCATCGCCACACTCTGCCATGTGCCACTTTCAGGTCTCTCTCACACTGCTGGTGTGTTGAATTTTTTGACATAGGGTGCTGGCAGATTACGGGCCTCCATAGCTGCTGCCAGGCCCCTAATCTGCCATGGGCCCCTATATACCGCCTCCTCATGCTGCTGCCAAGTCCAGAGTCTCATGGGTCCCTGTACGGCCTCCCATTGCTGCTGTCTCCATCGCCACACTCTGCCATGTGCCACTTTCAGGTCTCCTCACACACTGCTGGTGTGTTGAATTTTTTGACATAGGGTGCTGGCAGATTACGGGCCTCCCATAGCTGCTGCCAGGCCCCTAATCTGCCATGGGCCCCTATATACCGCCTCCTCATGCTGCTGCCAGGTCCAGAGTCTGTCATGGGTCCCTGTACGGCCTCCCATTGCTGCTGTCTCCATCGCCACACTCTGATGTGCCATGTGCCACTTTCAGGTCTCCTCACACTGCTGGTGTGTTGAATTTTTTGACATAGGGTGCTGGCAGATTACGGGCCTCCCTATAGCTGCTGCCAGGCCCCTAATCTGCCATGGGCCCCTATATACCGCCTCCTCATGCTGCTGCCAGGTCCAGAGTCTCTGTCATGGGTCCCTGTACGGCCTCCCATTGCTGCTGTCTCCATCGCCACACTCTGCCATGTGCCACTTTCAGGTCTCCTCACACTGCTGGTGTGTTGAATTTTTTGACATAGGGTGCTGGCAGATTACGGGCCTCCATAGCTGCTGCCAGGCCCCTAATCTGCCATGGGCCCCTATATACCGCCTCCTCATGCTGCTGCCAAGTCCAGAGTCTGTCATGGGTCCCTGTACGGCCTCCCATTGCTGCTGTCTCCATCGCCACACTCTGCCATGTGCCACTTTCAGGTCTCCTCACACACTGCTGGTGTGTTGAATTTTTTGACATAGGGTGCTGGCAGATTACGGGCCTCCCTATAGCTGCTGCCAGGCCCCTAATCTGCCATGGGCCCCTATATACCGCCTCCTCATGCTGCTGCCAGGTCCAGAGTCTGTCATGGGTCCCTGTACGGCCTCCCATTGCTGCTGTCTCCATCGCCACACTCTGCCATGTGCCACTTTCAGGTCTCCTCACACACTGCTGGTGTGTTGAATTTTTTGACATAGGGTGCTGGCAGATTACGGGCCTCCCATTGCTGCTGCCAGGCCCCTAATCTGCCATGGGCCCCTATACCGACTCCTCATGCTGTGACGTTGCAACAAGGTGGAATTCAACCCTACATATGTTAGACCGCCTTTACGAACAGCAAAAGGCCATCACAGATTTCCTGATGTTAAAAGCGGATAAAGGTACTCCCTGTGTAACTTAGATGTCAGCCATTGGCAGCTCATGCGTGACACCTGCGCTTGCTCAGGCCCTTTGAGGAGGCCACGCTATTATTCGTGTCGGCAGGACTATGGGATGAACGACGTCATTCCTCTGTTGCACGTCCTGGAACAAATGCTGTTAACAATGGCTGGTCAGGGTGCGGTAGACGTGGCGCACAGATCTCAACGCCACATGACCCCTGTGGGGGGGCAGGACAGGAAGAAGAGGAGGAGGTAGAGGAGGACATTGTGTGCTCAGGAATTATTGAGTGAAAATGGGTGGTTTTTCCACTCAGCGGACAGGAGTGGAGGAGCAGGAGCATCTGGTAGAGGAGGAGAAGAGGAGACAGAGACAGACCCAGACGCACCGTGGGCAGTATGCTGTGGAGATGGAGGCAGGGGGAGTCCCTCGCATTCCTTGGCACAAATGGCCCATAGCATGCTCGCTTGCTTGCGTAGCGACAGCCGAATAATAACCATCAGACAGAGGGATGACTTTTGGCTGTCCACCTTGTTGGACCCTCGCTACCGTTCAAAAATGGTGGCCTTTTTCACACCTGCTGAGAGGGAGCCAAAATAACGTACTATAAAAACCACCTATGTAGTCAGCTGGTCTCTGCCTGTCTGCGCCAACGTCCATCCTCAGACACTGTGGGCCCTGTGCGCTCGCGTTCCGCTGCCATGGCAGCAGGGGAGGGGTGGGGTGGTAGGAGCAGTGGCAGCTCCACCAGCAGCGGCTGCCTCAGTCTGCAGTCGATGATGAGTAGCTTTCTTCACCAGCGCAGTGAGGAAACTACTAACCAGAGCCAGCAGCAGCAGCAGCAGCAGCAGGTGGACCTGGAGCACCTGGAGCAGGACCTCAAACAACAGGCTTAGGCCTACTTGGACAGCACCCTGCCAACCGAGGTAGACAATCCCCTTGACTACTGGGCAACGAAACTTGACCTTTGGCCCCAACTAGCTGAATTTGCCCTTGAAAGGCTGTCATGCCCGGCCAGTAGCGTGGCATCGGAGCGCGTGTTTAGTGCGGCAGGAGGTATTGCAACTCCGCGGGAGGACACGACTGTCCACCCAAAGTGTGGAGAGACTCACGTTTGTGAAAATGAATCAGGCGTGGATTAGTCTGGATTTCAAACCACCAGTTCCTGACACAACTGACTAAATCCGCCATGAATCATGCCCCAAACATGTGCCACTTTCAGGTCTCCTCACACTGCTGGTGTGTTCCATTTTTTGTCATAGGGTGCTGGCAGATTACGGGCCTCCCATAGCTGCTGCCAGGCCCCTAATCTGCCATGGGCCCCTATACCGCCTCCTCATGCTGCTGCCAAGTCCAGAGTCTCTCATGGGTCCCCTGTACGGCCTCCCATTGCTGCTGTCTCCATCGCCACACTCTGCCATGTGCCACTTTCAGGTCTCCTCACACTGCTGGTGTGTTCCATTTTTTGTCATAGGGTGCTGGCAGATTACGGGCCTCCCATAGCTGCTGCCAGGCCCCTAATCTGCCATGGGCCCCCTATACCGCCTCCTCATGCTGCTGCCAGGTCCAGAGTCTCTCATGGGTCCCTGTACGGCCTCCCATTGCTGCTGTCTCCATCGCCACACTCTGCCATGTGCCACTTTCAGGTCTCCTCACACTGCTGGTGTGTTCCATTTTTTGTCATAGGGTGCTGGCAGATTACGGGCCTCCCCATAGCTGCTGCCCAGGCCCCTAATCTGCCATGGGCCCCTATATACCGCCTCCTCATGCTGCTGCCAGGTCCAGAGTCTCTCATGGGTCCCTGTACGGCCTCCCATTGCTGCTGTCTCCATCGCCACACTCTGCCATGTGCCACTTTCAGGTCTCCTCACACTGCTGGTGTGTTCCATTTTTTGACATAGGGTGCTGGCAGATTACGGGCCTCCCATAGCTGCTGCCAGGCCCCTAATCTGCCATGGGCCCCTATATACCGCCTCCTCATGCTGCTGCCAGGTCCAGAGTCTCTCATGGGTCCCTGTACGGCCTCCCATTGCTGCTGTGTCTCCATCGCCACACTCTGCCATGTGCCACTTTCACACACTGCTGTGTGTGTTCCATTTTTTGTCATAGGGTGCTGGCAGATTACGGGCCTCCCATAGCTGCTGCCAGGCCCCTAATCTGCCATGGGCCCCTATACCGCCTCCTCATGCTGCTGCCAGGTCCAGAGTCTCTCATGGGTCCCTGTACGGCCTCCCATTGCTGCTGTCTCCATCGCCACACTCTGCCATGTGCCACTTTCAGGTCTCCTCACACTGCTGGTGTGTTCCATTTTTTTGTCATAGGGTGCTGGCAGATTACGGGCCTCCCATAGCTGCTGCCAGGCCCCTAATCTGCCATGGGCCCCTATACCGCCTCCTCATGCTGCTGCTGCCAGGTCCAGAGTCTCTCATGGGTCCCTGTACGGCCTCCCATTGCTGCTGTCTCCATCGCCACACTCTGCCATGTGCCACTTTCAGGTCTCCTCACACTGCTGGTGTGTTCCATTTTTTGTCATAGGGTGCTGGCAGATTACGGGCCTCCCATAGCTGCTGCCAGGGCCCCTAATCTGCCATGGGCCCCCGTACCGACTCCTCATGCTGCTGCCAGGCCAGTAATCTGTCATGGGCCCCTGTTGTCGCTTGTTGGCATATTCCGCTCGTTCAGATGCTCCTTCTCCTGCTACTCCTCTTCACGGATTCCGTCAGCAGTCTTTCTTGGAATCCGTTTCCAAGAGACAACAGTTTGTGAGCACGCACCCGACGTGTGCAGCAGAAGCTGAACGTCCTCCTGTCCAAGTTGCTGCTGCCAGGCTCGTAATCTGTCATGCGCCCCTGTACCGCCTCCTCATGCTGCTGCCAGGTCCAGAGTGTGTCATGGGCCCCCGTACCGACTCCTCATGCTGCTGCCAGGCCCGTAATCTGTCATGGGCCCCTGTACCGCCTCCCCATGCTGCTGCCAGGTCCAGAGTGTGTCATGGGTCCCTGTATGGCCTCCCATTGCTGCTGCCAGGCCCGTAATCTGCCATGGGCCCCCGTACCGACTCCTCATGCTGCTGCCAGGCCCGTAATCTGTCATGGGCCCCTGTACCGCCTCCTCATGCTGCTGCCAGGTCCAGAGTGTGTCATGGGTCCCTGTACGGCCTCCCATTGCTGCTGTCTCTATCGCCACACTCTGGCATGTGCCACTTTCAGGTCTCCTCACACTGCTGGTGGTTTCCATTTTTGTCATAGGGTGCTGTATGGCCTCCCATTGCTGCTGCCTCCACCGCCACACTGTGGCTCCACACTCTGGTTTTGGCCCCGTGACTGCCCAAATGAGTGAAGTGTGCGGTGATTCTAAGATCGACGGCACTCATCTGCATGTCATACTGACTGACAGTATTATTTCTCTTCCCCAGCAGACTCCAAGGGCATTTAAATTAAAGGTACAGTGTTCTGCACTAATATTAAGTCTCTCTGAAGCCTAGAAAACACCCTTTTTTAAGTTAAATTCACAGCGAATATATTCGACTCGAATCGAAATTTTTCCACGAATTCGCCGAATCAGTCGAATCGAATTTTTGAATACTTCGCTCATCTCTATTTACGTCCAATAAACACATCCTATTCATTAGCCATTGAGGTGCTATATCCTTTTTATCCTTTCTTTCTTTGGGGGTTTTTGTAGTCATTGCTGCTTACCCCTCAGAGCCCCCATACCCCCCTGCCCCAAATGAGCAGTCCCTGACAGTATCTCCTGAATGTAGCCTTGAAAGATCATATCTCATACAAAAAAGAAGACTAGAGCACCACCTGTTGCTTTAGAAGGAGCACAAGTGTTATTATTCAAAAAAATTAATAAATACATTTGTTTTTAAGACCTGTCCATAGTAAGGAAAGCAAATATGTGCAAAACCAAGATGTCTTATCTTTAACAGAAAGCTATTCCAGATAGAAATTTTAGTTTTGGATTGACACCTGGACTGAAAGTAATGGAAATTTCTGCTTTAAATAAAGAAAATCAATTCCAAACCAATGCAATTTTTTTCCCCCTGAAAATAACATTTTGATATCAGAATTAATGAGACAAAATAAGAAACACCAGTAAAATAACTCGTATCATTATGTGAACTGATGCTTATGTGTGCTTATCTGTTTTTGGAAATGTGTGTCTCCAACTGACATCAGGCTAGGTTCCAGGGGTGGACTGACAACTCATGGGGCCCCCGGGCAATAGGGGGATCATGGGGCCCCTGTGTCCTTGCCCAAAACTCAATGTAAAAGGTACCACGGGCATCTCATCATGGGGCCCCCTACTGACCCCGGGCCCTTGGGCAGTGCCCGAGTTTCCAAATGGTCAGTCCGCCCCTGCTAGGTTCATACCTATGCAGTTTGTGTTTGCGTTTCTGCAGTGCGTTTTTTTTCACATGCGTTTTTGGCGCTTTTTTGATGCGTTTTGTGTTTTTTGTTTTTTTTCCCCCAACTTGTTGCTGGGCAGATAAAAACGCAAAAACACATAAAAAATGCATCAAAAACACATTACATGCTTTTCTGCAGCATCTCCATCAAAGTCTGTAGAACCAAAAATGCAATTTTTTTGTGTTTAAAAAAGTCCCTGACCCTTTCCAAAAAACGCACCAGGTGAAAACGCGGAGATGCGAACCTGTCCCGTAGGAAATCATGTTAAATGAACTGTTATGCGTTTCTGCAAAACGCAACGGAAAACACAGGTGTGAACCTAAACTCACACTGAGTGAATTTTACCAGGAACCAGTTGAATTTTGCTAAGTGGGTGGCCCCTACTGGCCCTGCTGTATCAAACAAAAGTCGACTGATTGACTTTTCTGCAAGGAGCCTGCTGAAAAATATATTTGGCTGCATCCATTCAAATGAGCTTGCTGTCCCTGTATTCTGACAGCTGCCACCAACAGCTGTGAGATTTCAATAGCCTAGCAGAGGAATTCATCCATACATGCTATATATATGGAGGGAAGAATCTGTCCAATTTCTTTTGTTCAGCCTGCAGAAATCTAACGTGTAACAGCTTTATTTTCCCGCATGATGTATAAAATGTTGCTCATAAAAGTTGTTGCGTAAACAACAAAGGAGCTGTACTTTAACAAGACAACCAGTTGAACTTGATTTTTGATCATTAGATTCGTGATCATTGTAAACTTAATTGGGGATGATTTTCCAAGAACTGCTGGCATGATTTGTATATTTTATTTTCATCTTGATTTTTTTCCATTAGATTAATGATCATTGTAAATATAATTGCTGATTAGTTTCCAAGAACTTCTGGAATAATTGACATATTTTATTTTCATCTTGATCAGTTACTGACTGAGGCTAGATGGACCATATATCTAATAAAAGAAAAGACAATTGTAGCAATACGAGTAGAGATGAGCTTGTTGCAGGGACGGACTGACCATTTGGAAACTAGGGCAGGGCCCGGGGTCAGTAGGGGGCCCCATGAGATGCCCCTGGTACCTTTTTCATAGGCTTTTTTGAGTTTGGGCAAGGACACAGGGGCCCCATGATCCCCTATTGCCCGGGGGCCCCATTATTATTATTATTATTATTATTATACAGTATTTATATAGCGCCAAAGGGTATGCTCAGCGCTGTACAGTAGCAAGGGGGACAGAACATGAGACAAGACAGTAACAATACACTACACGAGGGGTTCGAGGGCCCTGCTCTTTTGAGCTTACAATCTAGGAGGGAGGGGAAGGTGGTACAGGAGGAGATGGCTGTGGGGGATAGAGTGGTGGGAGGAGTGGAGGAGGTTAGTTGTTAGGTGAGGTCGGGTGTTAGGTGAGGTTGGGGTAGGCTTCCCTGAAGAGGAGGGTTTTCAGGGTGCGCCTGAAGGTGAGGAGGGTAGGTGACAGTCTGATGGATTGGGGTGGGGAGTTCCAGAGGATGGGGGAAGTCCTGGAGAAGTCCTGCAAGGAGGAGACCAGGAAGCTAGAGAGTAGGAGGTCCTGTGAGGAGCGGAGGGCACGGGTAGGGTAGTATTTGGGTATCAGGACAGTTATGTAGTTCGGGCAGCATTGTGAATGGCTTTGTAGGTCAGAGTTAGCAGTTTGAATTTGATGCGTTGAGGGGGAGGCAGATGTGGAGCGGTTAGTGAGGTAGATGAGTCAAGCCGCTGAGTTTAGGATCGACTGGAGTGGGGATAGCGTTCGTTTGGGTAGGCCAGTGAGAAGGGAATTGCAATAGTCCAGGCATGAGATGATGAGGGAGTGTACGAGTTGTTTGGTGGTGTCTGGGGTGAGGAATGTGCGTATCTTGGAGATGTTGCGGAGGTGGAGCCTGCAAGATCTAGATAGCAGTTGGATGTGGGGTAGGAAAGAGAGGTGGGAGTCCAGGGTGACACCCAGGACTTTGGCGTGTGGGGTGGGAGAGATGGTGGCGTTGTTAGTAGTAATGGAGAGGATGGGGGGGGGCAAGGGGTGGGGGGAGGACCAGGAGCTCGGTTTTGGATAGGTTAAGTTTGAGGAAATGGAGCGACATCCAGTCTGATAGTCGTTTAGGAGGTGGGCGATAAGGGCATGAGTTGTCAGTCCCTCCCTGGCTTGTTGTATACTTATAGACCTGCTGGAGAAAACTACACAGTCTACAGCACCTTTAGCAATAATATTGTTGTGGTCAGTGCTGGGACAAGGTCATCTAGAGCCCAGGGCAAACATGTCAAATTGCCCCCCCCCCCGATGCCTGAGCATTGTGCGGCAGCAAACCTTCCCAAAAATTCAAGCATTAATTTGCACGTTTACCCCCTAAGCTTAAATGTCCCCTCCTCCCTAAATAAATCTGCCCTCCTCTTGAAATCCCTTTGTCCAGCACAAATACCCCCCCCCCCCCATTCCCTCCCAGCTCAAATCCTCTCTCTCCCCATACACCCCCAGCACGAATCGCCCCCCTCATAAAAATTCCCCCTCCTAGCAAAAATCCTCCAACCCTCAAATTTCCCCTCAGAGCACAAATCCTCCCCCCCCCCCCACTCCAAATCCTCCCTCCTAGCACACCTTTTCCTCCCCTTGAACATATCCTACCCCAGAGTGCCCAGGGCAGGCAATAGAAAAGGTTGAGTCTACTTTTTTGAGAAAGCTGATATCATCATTACTTCTTCACATTGTATTTAATCAGCATCTAATTTATGGCAATAGTACATTGTGTTCCTGATGGCTTAGTTCACGTGTTGTCACTGGGCAATCATTTCTACATTATATTGCCAAAAGTATTGGGATGCCTTTACACGCACATGGACTTTAATGGCATCCCAGACTTGGCCTGTAGGGTACAATAGCTTCAACTCTTCTGGAAAGGCCGTCCACAAGGTTTAGGAGTGTGTCTATGGGAATGTTTGATCATTCTTCCAAAAGTGCATTTGTGAGGTCAGGCACTGATGTCGGACAAGATGGCCTGGCTCACAGTCTCGCTCGAATTCATCCCAAAGGTGTTCTATCTGGTTGAGGACAGGACTCTGTGCAGGCCAGTCAGGTTCCTACACCCCAAACTTGCTCATCTATGTCTTTATGGACCTTGCTTTGTGCCCTGGTGCACAGTCATGTTGGAACAAGAAGGGGCCATCCCCAAACTGCTGCCACAAAGTTGGGAGCATGAAATTGTCCAAAATGTTTTGGTGTGTTGACACCTTAAGAGTTCCCTTCACTGGAACTAAGGAGCCAAGCCCAACTCCTGAAAAACAACCCCACACGATAATCCCCCCTCCACCAAACTTTACACCTGGCAAAATGTAGTCAGACAAGTACCATTCTCCTGGCAACCTCCAAACCCAGACATGTCCATCAGATTGCCAGACAGAGAAGTGTGATTCGTCACTCCAGAGAACATGTCTCCATTGCTCTAGAGTCCAGTGCCGGAGTGCTTTACAATACTGCATCCGATGCTTTGCATTGCACTTGGTGATGTAAGGCTTGTATGCAGCAGCTCGGCCATAGAAACCCATTCCATGAAGCTGTCTACACACTGTTGTTTTGCAAATGTGAAGGCCACATGAAGTTTGGAGAAGCAGTCTGCATGCCTAGGGGTTGTGGCCATGGAGGTGATTGTAACACCTGAATCCAATTATTTGGAGGGGTGTCCCAATATTTTTGGCAATATTGTGTATTTATGCGCATGTTATTTCTAATTTTTAAAGACATTTTACTAACAGAAATGGTACCAACTGAGTGGTATACAGCAAATTTGGTACCAATATTTAAAAAAAGGGTCAAGATATATGCCAGAACACTATAGACCATTCAGCTTAAAGGAGCCAAAACACCCAGCCAAAAGAAAAGCTTTTTGAATTCCACAGGGTTCCCTGTGCATATTGGACTTTAAATCTTCCCTTTCTGGCTGTAGCACAACTACCCCAAAGTCTAAAAATGTAGGCATTCCTAGCTATCCAACACCACAGCTTGCAATTTCTGCTTGAATTTAAATGGGGACAAGTGCTATGTGACATCTGGTGCCAGTTCTCCTTTACCATTAATAGTATGTAAAATATTTGAGGGGCTGGTAAGGACTACCATATTTTTCGCGTATAAGACGCACTTTTTCTTCCCCAAAACTGGGGGGGGGAAAAGTTGGTGCGTCTTATATGACGAATAGAGAGAGAATCCGTGAGGCGCGGCCATGGCCGTAGGAAGGCCACGGCTTTGGCCTATCTCTGGAGCGGTCGGCCATCTTAGTACACCCGGCGGTGCACGCTGACGTCATCACCCCCTCTGCTTGTGGATCCTACCATAGCGCGGATCTACAACAACAGGTGAGGAGCGGGGCAATGCAATGTTACTGGCTATTATTACTATGTTGGGGGCAATGTTACTGGCTATTATTACTAATGTGGGGGCAATGTTACTGGCTATTATTACTATGTTGGGGGCAATGTTACTGGCTATTATTACTAATGTGGGGGCAATGTTACTGGCTATTATTACTAATGTGGGGGCAATGTTACTGGCTATTATTACTAATGTGGGGGCAATGTTACTGGCTATTATTACTAATGTGGGGGCAATGTTGCACTGGAACAGTGATGGTGATGACGAGTGGGGGGCAATGGTGGACTTTACAGTGATGAGTGGGGGCAATGGTGGATGATGTATTAAACAAAAAGACAAAACGTACCAGTATGTTTGTCTTGTTGTTTTTTTTTACTGATCCGAAAAAGATCCGATCCGTGACTCCTGATCCGTGGAACGATCCGGACCGTAGGTTAGGGAGCACATGGTGGATGTGAAAAAGATGCAGAAAAACACAGTAAGAAACAATGCATTCACATTTTTTGTAGTTATCCCTTTAACCACTTGCCGACCGCGCATAGCCGAATGACGGCTTCACCGCGGCCGGCCAGTTCTGAGTGGACGTCATATGACGTCCTCCCAGAACGCGCTCTCCTGCGCGCCCCAGGGGGCGCGCACCGGCGATCTCCGTGATCGCTGTGTCCTACGGACACAGCTGATCACGAGATGTGGTGAAAGGCCGATCCCACCGGCCTTTTACCACGTGATCAGCGGTGTCCAATGACACGCTGATCACAGGAAAATGCAAGTGCCGGTTCTCGGCTGCACTTTCCTCACGCTGTCAGATCGTGAGGAAAGTACTGCCGAGAACCGGCAGTTGTCAGAGCGGGGATCGGCACCGATCATCAGGGCACTGATGATCAGTGCCCTGATGATCGGTGCCCAGCAGTGATCCCCGCAAGTTCCGATCAGCTGTGCGCCCACTAGCCCCGCCCACCCATTCCCAGCGGTGCCCCCACCTGTGCCCAGCAGTGCCCCCACCTGTGCCCAGCAGTGCCCCCACCTGTGCCACTCTGCAGTGCCACCTACCTGTGCCCAGCAGTGCCACCTATGTGTGCCCAGCAGTGCCACCCACCTGTGCCCACCCACCTGTGCCCACCAGTGCCACCCACCTGTGCCCACCCACCAGTGCTGTCCACCAGTGCCACCCACCAGTGCCACCCACCAGTGCTGCCAGTCAGTGCCACCAGTCAGTGCCCAGGGGTTGTGCCAGTCAGTGCCGCCAGTCAGTGCCCAGAAGTGATGCCAGTCAGTGCCGTCTATCAGTACCCATCATCAGTGTCACCTATCAGTGCCGCCTATCAGTGCTGCATATCAGTGCCGCCTATCCGTGACCCCTAATTAGTGCTGTCTATCAGTGCCGCCTATCCGTGCCACCTCATTAGTACTGCCTATCAGTGCCCTTTAGTGCTGCCTATCAGTGCCCATCAGTGCCGCCTATCAGTGCCCATCAGTGCCGCCTCATCAACGCAAATCAGTGAAGGAGAAAAAATACCTGTTTGAAAAATTTTATAAAAGAAACAAATAAACTTTTTTTTTTATTTCAAATTTTTTGCACTTTTTTTAATTTATAGCGCAAAAAGTAAAGCGCCCAGTGGCGATTAAATACCACCAAAAGAAAGCTCTATTTGTGAGAAAAAAATGATCAAAATTTCATATGGGTACAATGTTGCATGACCGCGCAATTGTCAATCAAAGTGCGGCAGCGCTGAAAGCTGAAAATTGGCCTGGTAAGGAAGGGGGTATAAGTGCCTGGTAGGCAAGTGGTTAAGGACCCTGCAAGTTCAGAAATAATGCTCTAAGCACCGAAGTTTAGTTGTGGGCTGATAACGAACAGCATTTTTATTGATGAAGTGGTGTCAGCCTTTCCAGCTGTCTTTTGCTAAAAAGCTACTGATCCAGTCTGATTTGTATGCTGTGCCACGTCCCTTAGGGTAAAAATTAATAATGGTTGGGATTTCTTTAGGCACGTAAATATGCACGTAAACAATTTTTCATTACATATAAAAATTGCAAATGTTTATTAGAAAATATCTAAAATGTTATGCACATCACAATTAAAATCAGTCCACATGCTGATGGTTTATAAATACCTCTGAAACACCATTACTAAATTACATGTCAGCAGTTATAGATGCCTCAATGTAGCAAGTAGGCCACACTGCATTTCAATTTTCAAACAAATTTTCATCAGGGAGAAAAAAAAAAACAACCGGAGGTTTATAGGTCAATTTAAGATATAATATATATAATATAATATAATATATAATAAGCCAGGTCATCCAAATATACAGAAAAGATCTCCAAATCAGATATGTGGTCCAAGAGGTAAGCATAACAGTGGACCCATTTAAAGTCATCTCGCTCTCCAATATCACTGATGGTAATCTTCAACAAGATTTTTTTTTTCCTCCCCCTGAAATGCGTTAGAGCTTGCTACACTGAGACATCTATAGCTGCTGATATGTAATTTAGTAATGGTGGTTCAGATGTATTTATATATCATCAGCCTGTGGACTGCTTTATTTATTGTGACATGCCTAACATTTTAGATATTATATAATAAATATTTGCAATTTTTACATGTAATGAAAAATTGTTCATGTGCATATTTACATGCCTAAAAAATCCCAACCATTATTGACTTTTACACATGTTTTTTGCTAAACTATTCAACCACTCCCACTCTCGGATCTCTACAACATAAAGGCTAGCCATTCTTAGTCCAAGATAACCACTTTCCGGATGGCCCATGTAGCTTTACTGCTACAGGGTGGCTGCTCTGTGCAGAATTACGTATATATTTATAATTCTTCCCTTCCGTGTAGGGGCGCAAGCGCCGCCTACCCATGCTGTCCTTGGCTCCTTTACTTGTCAATCACCAGATCCCAGCAATTGGTGGAGCTAGTGACAGGAGAGAGATCTGTGTATGTAAATAACAGAGATGTCTCTCCTGTCATTGGGGATGTGCCTTTTTTTGTCCCTGCAAAGCAGGGAATAAAAACCAGCACATCCCCTGGTAAAACACCTCACAGTACACAGTAATCACACTCCCTGGCACAAAGTTAACTCTTTGATCACCCCAGATGTTAACCCTTTCCTGCCCAGTGTCATTAGTACAGTGACAGTGCTTGTTATTAGCACTGATCACTATTAGTGTCACTGGAGATGTCAGTGTCAGTTATCTCTCACCCAGTGTCAGTTAGTGTCAGAATGTCTGCTGTACTATCACAGTCCCGCCATAAGTTGCTGATCACCGCCATTCCTAGTATATTAAAAAAAAAAATAATTCCTGTATCTATACTATTGTTTGTAGACACTATAATTTCAAGCAAACCAGTTAATTTACACTTATTGGGAATTTTTTTTTCCAAAGACGTAGCAGAATACATTTTGCCCTAAATTTATGAAGACATTTTATTTTTTACTAGATTTGTTTTATAGCAAAAAGTTTAAAAAATGTTTTTTTTTATTTTCGGTCCTTTTTCCTTTATAGCACAAAAAGAAAAAACCCACCAAAACAAATCTCTCTTGGTGTAAAAAAAAGAGATATACATTTCCTTTGTGTACAGTGTTGCAAGATTGCACAATTGTGAGTTAAAATTGCCAAGTGCCTTATAGAAATAAAATTGCCTGATCATGAAGGTGGGTAAATCTTCCAGAGGGCAAGAGGATAAGGACAAGGACTGTGACATGGCCAAGCTGCAGCACACTAGTGGCCTCAATCAAGTAGTAGGTTTATACCTGGATCAGTACGACTTTAGACAAGCAGTAGGTTTTTACTCAGATTAGTCCTGACCTTGGACAAGTGCTAGGTTTATACCTGAATCAGCTGACACACACATTTGCACAAGGTATGAGCATGGTATATACAGGCCCCCCTATTACCAGCTAATATGTCTATCCCTGCCTTCAAGTCCTACCAACAGTGGGTATTTTTCAGTTAAACTCACATACGCATAGGTATTGCCATTAGTGTCTCGGACACAGCATAAGCTCTCCCCCATGACGATTCACCATACAATACAGCAGTGACGTGTTCCCTGGAATGTTTGAAACAGGGGTGGACTGACCATTTGGAAACTCGGGCCCTGCCCGAGGGCCCAGGGTCAGTAGGGGGCCCCATGAGATGCCCCTGGTACCTTTTTAATAGGCTTTTTTGAGTTTGGGCAAGGACACAAGGGCCCCATGATCCCCTATTGCCTGGGGCCCCATGAGTTGTCAGTCCACCCCTGGTTTGGAACAATTCTGAGACTCCTGAGGAACGACAGAAGCCTTTTTAGCATTGGAATAAGGTTGTGCCTGCTAACACATGAAAATAGTTTATTTCTATAAAAAAAAACAGTTCTGTAATTGTAACCCTAGATGTCACTATTATCAAGAAAATAATACTTTTGTAAGTGTAGCCTTCAACTGTCTTTAGAAGTGACAGTCCCTACTATGGAACCAAGATCATTAGAATTAGTAGATTAGTAGAGATCTGTATAAATACATATACTAATTAACTACTAAATAAATTAATTTGGAATTCCTCCAACAAAATTTTGCTTTTCATTAGCAAGATCAAGCACTTACATATTTAGGAGTTCACATTCCTAGAGATCTTTCATGCTTATATACTTTAAACTATTTACTCCTTCTGGAGCGGACTATTACATATTCTGGAAAATGGGTCCCTCTCCAACATTCCTGGTTTGGTAGGATGGCTTCTTTCAAGATAATGATTCTACCACTTGGCTTGGCTATCTTTCAAACAGTCCCAGTTTCAGCCCCTGAACCTTCTTCAAACGTCTGATCAGTATTACTTCGATACATTTGGGGTGGTAAACTCCCTTGCTTAAAATATGACATCTGAGTCATGTGCATGCCAGAGTGAAATGAGTATATACTGTGCAGCAAATCTGTAATTTTTTTTTTGCCTTCACCCTTAGAATAAAGACACTATTTTTTGTTTATTTCAAGATAAAATTTGCCTGCCATCTCCCTCAATGCATCCTAGCAAAATTTGAGTATGTACAATCTGTACAATTGTTCTGTCTGCTGTCTCAAAAAAACGCTGTCATTTTTCTATTTCCAGATAAAATCTGCCTTCTCTCTATCTCTAAAATTGCATCCTAACAAAAAAATTATAACATACCTGTCTCTCCCAATTAAATTGTACCTAACAAAGATTGCATACATAGTGCACATCGAGTTTGAAGAATATTTCTGGCTCTTTTGTCTGAAATGATGCACTCTCATTTTTATTGTCAAGATAAAACCTACCTAGTCTCTCCCTTTTCTATTGTGCCCCAGTACAAATGCTTACATGATATGCAGCAAGACAGTATTTCTGGCTCTTGACTTTAACATAGTGTACTGTATATTTATTTTTACAATAAAAACTGCATTATCTATCCCTCTAACATGGTGGACAATGGCCAAGAAAAACTGCTTCTATAACATGCAGTGATTCTATATATTATCTCTGGCTGTGGTCTTTGAAAAAAACACTCTAGGGTGTTGTTTATCCCTGGTTCTGCTTATATTGGTCCTAGATCCATTAGCATGCCTTATTAGGTTCAACCCAGAAATTTGAGTGATAGATCTGGGATCTAACCCATTCAACATCAGCCTGTTTGCTGAAGACCAACTCCCGACTTCCCTGAAACAAAATTATATCTTCCCTTGGCCTACCTTTCATTTAGATTACCTGGGATCAAATTTTACACAGCCAATTATATTCCAATGTACCAGCAAACCTAAGAGTAAAACCTTTCTCTCTTCATGGTCCCACCTTAACTTACCCTTGATGGGGAAAATCAATGCTACCAAAATGACC